CTCCTCAGGACATCTGGGCTTGCTCGGGGTGGGGGGGAAGACACATCTTTTTAAGAGTCAAGAGCTGTTCCAGGCTGAGGTTATCCTGGCATCCGAAGTCTTCTCTTCAGCTAAGTGGCTCCCACGCAGCTTGGAAGGAGATGGGATTGGTAGGCAGTATTTCTGGCGAATGCCATCGAGCTTCTGTCCCCTCAAGTCTTACCTTTTCTTGAATCCAATAAGAATCCATGGGCTTGTTTTCTCCAGGGCATACAAGGAGTTTGCCATCTTCTATTTTTTCTACCCAAAACTCTGACAGATACCCCACTCCCACTGCTAGGAACCAGCATACATAGTTGTATTAGAAGCACCTGTATTTCCAGTATTTGTGGTTTTGCAGACACTGGTTTCTTGGCAGACAGATGCAACCTGTCTCCAAATGGGCCTTCCCTTCCTCCTCAGATCTGGAGACGAAGCCAGTCCTCTAAGGTCTTTGGGGCTTCTTGGCTCAGCAGTGAAATGTCAAACCTGACAGCCGACCATGTAGAAAATGAATATTGCTTTTCTCACTCTTCAGAGGGAAGACCTCAGAGCTCAAACACTTCATAAGCATCTTGTCATGGGCATTTCAACCTGCTGCAATGTATGTGACTGTGAGGATTGATCTCATTACTGACAATTGGTAGTGGACATCTTTCAAAATATATTGAAATTTTTATTAGGTTTGAATAGCACTTGCTACTTTTCCTCAGAGTAAGGTTGAATGCGAAGGGGCAGGATTCCACAGAGATGTGGCCGGTACTACTCTTTTCCTGCCTGGCTGTTTCAAGGCCAGAATTTGCCAGATGGAGCAGCATGAACATGCTGACCTTGTGCAGGGGTTGAACTTCTCTCCCCCAAACCCCCTCCCAACATGACATTAGCCAGGAGTCCCAGGAACCTGTTAGAAAATTTATTCACCATCCCTAAGATTAAATTTGTTCCGTTTGAGGCAAAGCTAGTAGAGAACGTCTTGATCCTAGAATTCAGCCCCTTCCTCATATCTATTCCAGACGAATAATCAGTACTCTAGATCCACAGATTATGAATGCCAGCGAGGCCCAATCTCCTCCCTGTACAGATGAGGAGATTGAAACCCATAGAGAGGTGAAGTAATTTTCCCAAAGAAATACAGCTAGAAATTCGCAGAGCCAGAATCAGATCCCACATTGAAATGCTCTTTCGTCCCTCTTCTGACTTACAACCAGTAGCTGAGAGTCTCTCTTTTAATTTGTGAATTCAGGTATTTCCCAGAATATCATGCTTTATATAAGTCTCTGGGAGAGAAGAGTTTATTTTTTCATGATGACAGGCAATGTGAACTCACACTTAATACACACTCCCTCTCCAAGTCTATCCCTCTGTAAGTCAAGAGAGTTAGGATTTTGAATGAGAAATGAGCTGATATCTTATTTACCTATATTTTTGAGGAGCAAGGAAGAACAATGAGAGTAAGAAACAGCAGAATCTTAATCTATAAACTGCCCTACTAAGTCTCTTGCTAGAACAGATTTTTCTAAAAAATCAGAGTAATCTGTCCATCCACCCAGCCACCCCATCTCTTGTCCAGCCTTTCTGACTTTCTTGGATCTTTTCCATTCCCAGGGCATTTGATCTCTCCGGAAAAACTTTTTACGGTTGCTTTTGGCTATGTGTTTCAGGAAGTCCACAACTTCTTAACCTCAGCAAGTCTTCATAATCTGTTTTGTTTTTTTTTTAATATGCACTTCTCTCAGCTAACTTATTTTTTTAAGTAAGCTCTTTGTCCAGCATGGGGCTTGAACTCACAACTCTGAGATCAAGAGTTGCATGCTCCACCAACCGAGCCAGCCAGGTGCCCCTCTCTGCTAACTTTTCTCTCAACCAAGCTACCAGAAACAAGTGTGTTTTCCTTGTGCAAAATGGTGGGCCCAGGGACTTCCTTGGGTGTCATTCTTCTAGAGGTTTTCTGACCTCGCCTTCCCCTTTATAGGAGCTTAGAAGCACCTGGTTTATCTGGTCTCTTTTCCTTTGGGAGGACTCTTTGAGGTTTGTCCCCATAAGCTTATAAGGATGTATCTAGAATGTTTATATTTTAATTTGCAAAATAAAGTCTGCGGTTTGCTACTGAAGCCCCTTGGTTCCCTATCAGTGTCATCACTGAGAAGGGTCCAGTGAGTCCTGCCTTCCTTTCTCCCAGCCTCCAGTATTTAAAGGTCTTATTCTTATTCGATGGAGAGATATCTTTGGCTCCAATTAGATTATAGCGCTGTTTCTCTAAAGAGATCAAGTACCCTGAGTTGAAGATTTTTATAGAAATTTATTCCTTTAAATGGCTACCATTCCTGCCTTTTCCAACCCTACCCCTGTAATAAATGTGATGCTCCCCTCCCCCCACCAGCCTTCAATCAGGTTCTAGAGGAAACTGAATGCTGCCAGGGGCCCAGGAAGGACATTCATTGTCCTTCTTGGTGGTGGTTCCCCTGAGAAGAAGTGGCTACAGTGACTGCTTTGAGCTATCCAACCTTAAGGCAGAGGTCTCCCTTTGAAATGTTGGGGCTGAAGAGAGTCTTCAAAGAAAACGCCCCTCTGGGGCTTTGTAAGAGAAGAGTACTTCTGTGGTTAATATGTTAAGGCTAATTGGCAGGAGTTTTGAAAACAGCCACCTGCTTTTCAAGGTAGTAAGAGCAGAGCTGAAGAATATGACACTTGTTCAAGCATTAAAGCCAACTAAAATATCCTAATCCCTGCAGAAAGAGCGCTGGGTTCTAATATTGGCTCTGCATTAACTCCCCATGTGACTTTGGGCACTTAGCCACGGGGTTCTGCCTTTAAAATGAAGGATTAAGCTAGATAATCTCCAAGGAGAATTGTTTTGTGTTGTGGGTGATTTCAAACCATATATTTAAGCACATATTAGAGTCAAATTATTCAGTGAAGCCCTACAGACCTACCAATCGACTTCAGTAATGATCAACTCATGGCCAATCTTGTTTCATCTGGACTCCCACAGCTTGATGATCACGTTTGCTTCATTATAGATTTGTCATGGTCCTTGGATTCCTGGATGAAATGTTGCCCACTTTTCTTAGGACCAAAACAAGACAGCTTCTACCAGAGAAAGGTCAGGCAGAGCACTAGTCCCCCGATGGCTGGCCATTACAACCAGCATTTCTCTTTCTGAACATCTTGTCCCACTAATGCCCCCGGTGGAGGTGGCCTTCAGTAATTAGAGCACAACCATTGGGTCCAGGACATCACATCCTCAGGCCCTTGCATCAGACTGCAATCTCATTCTACAGGATGAGGCGATATCTGTGTTTTTCACTGAGACCACATGTGGTTCATTTGCTGGAGTAAGTGGTTGTACCTTTTAGCAACTGCTTGAGAGCCAGTTCTTGAATTTCAGGGTCTTAGTAGTCCAAACACCCAGCATCTTGCCAGAAGATGCTCAGAACGGCAGGCAGCTCTCAAGGTTTATCCTTCCCACAGCATTTCATGGTCCATCTCCTTTACTCCAGAATAAGAAGAAAGGAAAAGATTCTCGCATCTGTTTTGTTCAGTATTCTGTACATCTCTCTGTGAGTGACTTCAAAGGAGCTTCTATTACTCCCCTAAGAACCCCCCACCCATGGGCTCACAAACCTTCCAAGGATCTCACACTTCTATGGACTTTGTAACTGTCATTTGATCAGACACAGGGGAAATATTCCTGAACCCTGAAAGGCTAGTCCTGTTCTCCAGGTGAACATAGGTCTCCCTGAAGCATGTGAATGTCAGGCCTGCCTTTCTAGGACATGTGGTGTTCAAGGCCATTGAGATGGGCCAAAGACAGTCTATAGCCAAGGACTTAACCTAACTGCACAAACCTTGGTGCTTCCACTTTTCACTCAATAGCTGGGTGAGCATAGCCTGCCCTCCTGAAAGAACTTCAAGAAAGAGAGTCTGGAGAATAAAATGCCCCAAGTCAGGGATAAGTCTTCTTTTCCATGGAGCCTTCCAAAGGGCACGCCCTCCGCTACTGCGTACTGTAAATTCAGAGCTTCGGGAGCTGAGGCCTCCTGTGCTTGGGGGGAAAGGTAGCTGAGGAGAAAAGGAGTCCTTCTCACCTTTTGTTTACCTTCAATCTGGCTGAATTTAGCTGCCCTTAACTTCTAGTTTGCTAAAGTCCTTATTGCCTTAACAACCACCTCAGAAGCAGTCAGAACCAGAAGAGAAAGCCCCTTTGTTGGCATTCATTGTTAACCCCTACACCTGTCCCTGTCTCCCCAGTGCTGCTGTGCCTGAAAAGAGTCCCAGCCCCGTCTCCAAAGCACTGGGTTAGCCTCTGCTGAAACAGAAACGTACCCAGGCTAAGAACAAACCCAGAACTGCTCAGACGGGGAGAGATTCCCCACACCACACTTACACTGCTGACAACCGTGGCTGTCCTTCAGACTTGGCTTTGCTTCAGATCTGGACTCCTCACGCACCCTCCCCTCCACCTCTTGTTCCAGAGACCCTCCACACCCCATCATCCTCAGTGCCATTCCTGAAGACCATCTAGACTTTGTGTTCTCCTGAACATTCTACTCACCTTCAGCTGCACCGTATTTCGTCAGCCTCTCCACCAAGCTCTTTAAAACGAAAGGCAGTTGCTGTCTTCCCGTGGACAATAATGAATGTATCTACTGTAAGTGCAGACCATGTAGAGAAGTGGCTGGGTTTATCAAAAAGAGGGGTTTTGTAAAGCCTGTTTATTTTTTTAAGTCAGTTTTGAGCATTTCTATTTTACCACCCTTCACATGGTTTTGGGGAACCCAAATTGTATCAAGGTCTCATGCCAAAACAAGCCAAAAGTTGTTTTCTTTACCTTTTTCCTCCATGCACCATGATTTAAATGATTGTTTTAGTGTCATTTTAAATGTTTTCTTGTGACATGTACTGACGATAAAAGTCATCTTGACAAAAAAAAAAAGATTTATACATGAATCAGAAAGTATTTATTTCAATTTTGTACCTTTCCATTTTAATACATTATAATGTATTGACTCAACTGAGATAATATAAACAGTTCATTTTAATAACATGTGTCTGCGTGTGGCTTTTCCTTTATTCACGGTCAGGGAGGGACAAATAATCGTGGAGTGGAAAATTCTGGGGGCTTATTGGCATCAGTGTGAGCAGAGTGTTTCCTCTGACCCAACAAAAGGCTTCTCGGCAGCAGCCGGAGGACCCCCCCCCCACCCCCAGGAGTGGAAGAGACTTACAGGGGAAATGAGGAGGTAAGTGAGTGGGCCCTCCAGGCATCAACTACCTGCCTCCTGATATCCTGACACACACTTCCCCATGTAGGGAGCATCATAGAGATGTCACTACTTACTTGTGGAGCCTGAATAAAGCCTAGAAATCAAAGGTTGGGATGGGGCCAGAAAGGGGAAAACCCAAAGCAGATAAGCTGAGAATCTAGGGAGAAAATTCAGCGCTAAAAGTGTTGGGGGGTGAGGGGTGGGAAGAAACAGAAAACTTCTGGGTTAGATTTTCTGGATGCAACACTTTCTTTCCCCCAATACCTGGGTGCTAGAAATTCTGCAAATGAATCCCTGGGGCAAGTTGCCTTCAAACAAGACCCACTGACAACCAACCAAATGGCTTCTTCTTGCTTCCTTAGTATAATTCCTTAGGGCTTCTAAATATAAAACTGAATACAACCATACTCATTTCAGGCTCTTTACTGGAGGGTGGGAGAGAAGGTGGGCACAGGAAGCGGCAGGGGGGGGGGGTACCTGGAGAAAGAGGGAGGAGCTGTCAAATGCAACTGCATCCAAAGGGCATTAGGGAAAACTTTCCCCCAGCATATTTGGCAAAGGGGGTGGTAATTCCGTGAGCCTCATGATGTTAATCTCTAGTCTTCTCTGTATGTTTGAACATGTTCTAATTTTCCAAGGTGTCATCTGGGAGGACAGAAACACTACTTGAAAGGAATCCATCAGCCCTTTCCATGTGGGACTCCTCTGAGAAGAGAGAGAAAGAGAGATTATATATGTCTAGGACTCTGGGAGGTATGTGTAGGACTCTGGGAGGAGAGATGGATGTTCTCAACAATCAGCCATTTGATTGATCTCCTTCTGCAACCCCATTCTCTCCATTCCCTCCCTTTTCCTCCTCCCCCACCCCCTCCACACTTTTAAGCCCACAAGTTTCTACACTTGCCCTTTTTGGGCACCTCCCCTCTGGCCTAGGCTCCTTGAGTGCAAGCTTATTTCGGCCAGCAAGAACACATCAGAGGAAGGCAACTCTAGCCGGTGAGTCAAGGGACCTCCCTTTGATTCCTTAATCACCCCCACATCATCTCAGCCTCTTCTTCTGGGAACATTTGTGCATTCCATACAGGAGATTCAATAATGGATTATTTTGAGTCCTAAGCCAATACTTTAGAAATGATCAGTTGCCAATTATATAAAATAGGAAGCTCTTCAGCCTTACGAAGACTCATCTACCAGGAAAGACATAGAAAGCCCCTCCCACCCATTCCTTTCCAAAGCTCTTTTCCAAAACTCCCACTAAACTGACTGGTAATCTTTAGCTTGCAGAGGATTTAGCTGTTTGGAGAGAGCTTGAGTTCTAAGGAAAGGATGTGGGAGGTGCTTATTATCCTAAACTGAAATCCTTTCTAAAGTGAGTTGATCTGCTTTGCTAACCTAGTTCATCAAAGGCAACATAGAAAACCCTTTTCAGATATGTGGAAAATCTGCCCTTGGGGAATATGAGTCCAGAATTTGAGATTCTTCCCCTGTGCCAATGTGTATCTGCAGTTGGGGATTTGTGATTCTGGGTCCTCTTTTCTCCTTAACTTGTAAAGAGAAGTTTGGACTGCCTTGGTCCCTGGCAGTTGAAGCTGAATGAGAGGCTATTGCAAATAATCCCCATAGTTAACTGGGTGAACTGCTATCAAGTTCACACTTGTTGGCCACATACAGACACACAGACACACAGACACATGTGTGCATGATACCCTACTACCAGGAGGCCCCAGTGCGCCACCCATGAGTCCCTGGACCTAGGCATCCAGTCAAGGGCTACAGAGGCCTGTTTAGACACACTCTTCTAAAGCCAACAGAGGAGCCATCCTTCCTCTGTGCCCTGCTCATCTTTCAACCTAGCTTTCTTCTTTCTGGCCCCTTCTTTTGCTTACTCTCCTCTCACACCTGACCTGATTTCCTCCCTTCAGTGCCACAAGAAGGGAGAGATCACCCATGGGACTGAGAGTGGAATTCTTCATCCTCCCTATGCCAGACTTGGGCAGAGTAGAAAAGAAGTCCAGGTGGCCTGGGTCCCCCTAAAATTTGTTGACTAACAGAGCTCTGAGAGTAGATCTCCAGCTATTTCCTTGCCTTGAGTCATTCTCCATTCTTTGGAGAGATTCTTTTGTCTGGTGCAGAGTGGGTTTGGGGGCATATTCATTCAAATAAACTCAGAGTCCTCTTCTAATAACTTCTCGAATGGGGCAGACCCACATACCAACCCCTCACTTGATATATGTCAAGCCAAGGAAGCACATACATTGATGCAGCACCTTTAGGAAAAGAACCTCCCTTCCTACCTCCCATCCACATACACAGGGATGGCAGAAATGTGAGGCTTGCAAATGGGCACAGGGGAGACATATACAGGGGAAGGGGAGCCCCGGAATCTTTGGTAAACATCATGGGGCTACCTGGGACAGAGCTGCTTCTCAGATCCCTTCTGTACCCCTTCCTCAGATGTTGGAAAGGGAGCATTAATCTAACTCAAGTGTTGAATTGTCAGACCAGACTGCAGCCTGCGAGGCTTCCGGTCAATGGGAGCTGGTCTGGTCTCCTGCACAAAGAGGGGCAGAGGTTTAGGAGGCTCCTTCTAAAGGACACATGACACAATGCTTAGGAAAATTGTAGACTACGAAGTAATAATAGTTAACAATATTTATATGTACACTGAAAACCCCTCAACTCTATTTGAATTATATTCTCATCTTATTATGTAAACTCTCCTCATCTATATTCTTCTGAAGAGGAAGGGCCTTGGGCATTAGGGGAGGAATTTTATTTTATTTATTTTATTTTATTTTATTTATTTTATTTTATTTTATTTTATTTTATTATTTTTAGAGAGAGAGAAAGCGGGGGGCAGGTGGGAGAATCTTAAGCAGGCTCCACAACCAGCAGGGAGCCCAATGCAGGGCTCAGTCTCACGACCATGACCTGAGCCAAAATCAGGAGTCAGACGCTTAATCAATTGAGCCACCCAGGCACCCTTTTTGGGGGTGGGGAGGAGGGAGGAATTTTAGAAGCTGTACTAGGAATACAGAAAATCTGCTGCGTCTTGCCCTCTGCCTGGAAATACATAAACATCAACAGAGAAAAGGAAGAAAAACACTGGGGAAGTTTTTCATTTTCTGTTTGTTTTCTGGGAGTAGCTGTTCCCTTATAGACTGTGAACCAAGAGGCTAGAATCACAAAATGATGTTGGATGACTTCAAGAAAACATATATGCCTCTGGAAAATCAGCTCTGCTTAGAGCCTAGACTCCCAAGTGGGCTTTTTCCACTCCCACCTGATTCTCCTACTTGGTGAGGGACAGTCCCCAGATTTGCTTTCCAAATGTCCTTACTAAATGTCAGGTAAGAGTGAAAGGGAAACAAATAACCATCAGACAATAAAATACAAAGACCTGAGCCTCCATGTTCTGTCCCTCGCCACTGCCTTCTGCACATGATCTGAGCTATTTCAGCTCTAGTCCTAGTAGATTGGCATGGCCTCCAGACACCATACCTGAAGCCCTCCTTTCTTGGTTCCTGGCCTGGCTCCATGCAGAGGACCTCTTCTTCTTATGGGCCACCCCACCCCCACACAAGCTCCCTAATCAAGAGTTTGCCAACTTTTTGAATAGGCCAAGAGAGCTGAATCCCCTGGACAATGTTCCTGAAGTTTCTCTGCCCCTCTTCTGTTTCCTCTGAGAGACATGATTCTATTCTCTGGTGACTGATGCAGTAAATAATCTCACCTTTTAGGTGAGACCCCAAATCCACAGAGGCAGCCCTATCCTTATAATGCCAATAATTAATTATTAAAATATTAGTTTCAGCTGTGCTGTCAGGACGCCTGGATTTAATTCTTGGCCCTTACTGTCCATATAAACTTGTTAATATCTCTGCACCTCAGTTTTCTCATCTGTAAAGTGGGGACAACAACATCATCCACCTCGCAGGGATTTTGTGAACAGTAAAGGGAATAATATATGTAAAAAAATGTAGAACAATGCCTGCTTCTGACAAAGATTCTCTCCTTGACCAACCTGTAGCCAGGTTCCCCTGAGCCCTCTCATCCACTGGGCTTCAACCTTGGCCTACAAAGACGTGAACAAAATATTAACACAGTTTCTAACAACTCAAGTCTGCATCTCCTGGATGATCCTAGCCCCCCTCTTAAAGAAAACTCAAAGCTGCCAAAAGAATTTACTGTTTGTTTCAGGCAACGCCTGAAGATAGGGCCCTGTCTTCCAGCCTCTGTGGGAGGGGAGGAGCCTAACTTGGGTACACCCCAGTTAGCGAACCCAGATGGGTTTCACATGGGCCAAACCCCTTCCTGCTTTTCGTGATTTTTCACTTGCCTGACTCTGTTGAGACCTCTCTAACCCTCCTCCCTATGCTCTCATTCTCCCTTTAAAATGTCTAGTCCCCTCTGTACAAGTCAAAGCTGAGTTCAGTTCATGTTGGATAGACCCTTTTACCTATTGCCCTAGCGCACATATTACTGATTAAAGTCTGTCCCAACCACTTTAAATATTGTCCAGCTTTGTTTATCTTTGACACCACATAGTAACGCTCAATAAATGCTAGCCACTATTATTATCATTTAGCATTATATAATATTTTCCTTTTTGTGCTGGTTGCTACAAGCTCAAGGCCACTTTGGAACTTTAGCTCATGCTTATGGTATATATTTCTATAAACTAACTTTACCCTTGACTTACCTTATTTTTCCTACCTATATTTTCTCCCTTTGACCGGATTTCTTCATATTTTTAAAATATCTGTGGCCCATGTATTTTTGCATGCCACCTCAAGTTTTCCTGATGAAGGAAGCAATACATTCTAAAAATAAAATTAAAATAACAAAAAGTAAATATAGTAAGCTGGAAGATCAATTGCTCAAAGCTGGGTTTTTGTGGGTTTGAACATTTGCTTATGTTTTCTACAAGTATATTATGGAGGTTGAGGCCTAGAAAGAAAACTTAATGTTTGTCACCTCCCCATCTCACCACAGAGTTAGAACCAACTAATAAGGATAAAAAGTCATAAAGTCTAACGGCCAGAAATCATTGTTTCAAAGGCTACAATTTCAGGAGCAATTTGTGTGTGTTTAGATTTGGCTCTGTCTGTGAAGTCACTAAGTCGTGCAGGAGAGTCACCGCCTACCCTGTGCTTTACTTTTCCTACATAAGGATGTGATTAGATATGGTCCCTTGTTGCCTTCCTTCTCCCCTGGAATAGACATTCTGCCTTTACCAGATCCCTGGGGCTCACTGAGGTAAAGGTAAGCAAAAGCTGATGGATTTCGGGAAACAAGGCAAGAAAAAGAAAACCCATTTAGCTGCACAACCAGAGAGACTTAAGAGATGTCATAGAAATCAACCCCTAGATTACTCTGTTAAAGAGAGTTAATACTCCTTGCTCAATGGAGCACCTATGTAGCTAGCTAGCATAGCTCTCTTGTACAATGGAAATTTCTTCTTCAATCCCCTTCCCTACCATCCAGTCCTCCTTCCTGCATTATCTGAGTGTAAAAATATGCCAAGTTCAGCACTAGTTCAGCTGATACCCTAGCATCCCTCCCTTCCCCCCCCCTAGACCCCCCCCCCCCCCCCCTTAGCCCTTATTCTTAGAAAAAGCTGGAGACAACGCTTGGAACTACACCAAAGGCAATTCTTGTCCAAATGGAAAACTCCCACATGCCCTCTTGTTTTGAACTCAACATTCATCTGGGTTTTGTTATATAGACAAAGGGTAAAATCATATAGGTTCCCTGGCCTAAGGAGAAGAAAAGTTTAGGATGAAAAATACTTGGGTTTTAGCTAAGGCATTGGATGACTGGGTTAAACACAGAATCATGATCACAACTATTACATCAGTTACTACTACTTCTTTATCACTTATAAATCCGTAGTTAGCTTGGATTTGCCAGTATTAGGAACAGGAAACCAGGAAGAAAGAGCAATGGAGGCATACTGATGGCAAGGCAAAGAGCTGCAGCAGACATGAAAGAAGCCGGAAGTCCAGGAGGGAAGTCCCCTTGGGTAGCATCTAAAAGGAGAGGCGGCTGAAATCCTGAGAAAGAATGAGCCCTAGAAGGGAATGAGGCTGTGGGGAGAAGAGGAGACCAAACAAGGACCTGAGGTGATAGCTAATGTTAGACATTCGGAGGAGGGAGAAATGGTAGGGCAGGGGGAGAAAATAAAATGTGGGGAAAGCAGAATATGATAGAGAAAGTGCTTAGTGAATGTCAGGTAGTGACAGAGAGGGAGTGCAGTGAGAGCTGGGGAAGGCCTTAGGGTTTCGAAGGAGGTTACTGGTGACCTTAGCAAGGTATCATAACGTCCTCACTCTGGGAAGACAGTAGAAGAGTTAGGACTCACCCAGCCTGGGAACACAGAGGAATAGGGTTTGTCAACCTCATCCCCCATTAGAAGCCAAATCTCTTCAGTAGATACTTCTTTTATCACTCACTGGCTTTGGCTTCCCCATGCTGAGTTTGACTTCGAAGAATCAACAGCTCCATGAAAAAGGAAGTGGCCCAGGCAAGATCCTGATAGTACCAAATGAGGTTCTTCTAACTGCACTTCATTATTACCTGGGAGTGTGGTGTTTACCCCAGGGCCCCATGTCTGGTCAAGAAGATTGGTGCCCCTGCCTCTAGGTGAGGCTTCTTCTCTGCCTTAAGTGTAACTCCTTCCCCAGCTGACTGAAGATCTACAAGGCTGCCACATGCACACATGTAGAGAGGAAGACAGAGAAAGCAAGATGGGCAAGCCCACCCCAGAGAGACAACCCTGGCTCAGGCTGTTCCTTCTGCCACCAGAAAGAAAGCCACATCCATGTAGGACACGGGACTTTCACCACGCATGGTGACCCTGAACACTAGAAAATGTGGTCCAACTGGTATCTTAAAACCTGGACCCCATCAGTTTAGTGTATCTTTAATTGTCTTATGGAGGAAGAAGTTGGAGGGCAGGGCACAATATATATCTTCCTGACCGCCTCCTTAACCCCCAACAAGCTGCTAACAAATGTAAAATGGTGCTTCCTAGGGCTTTGTGATTCGTATCTCTGGACTTTCTAGAGAGTTAACTTTTTAGAAGTGGTTAAATATGGGCAAAAGACCCAAACAGACATTTCTGCAAAGAGGATATACAGGTGGTCAATAAACACATGAAAAGATGTTCAACATCATTAGCCATCAGGGAAATGCAAACTAAAACCACATGATAGCACTATACCACCAAAACATAGTGACAACGCCAAATGCTGGGGAGGATGACGAGAAACGAGACCACTCATACATTGTGGATGGGAAAGTGAAATGGTGCAGCTACTCTGGAAAACATTTTGTCAGTTTCTTACAAATCCAAACATGCAATTACGTGATGACTCAGCAGTTGTGCTCTTGGGCATTTATCTCAAGGATAATGGATATTTATGTTCACACAAAAACCTGTACAGGGATGTTTATAGTGATGGTCCAAAAATGAAAATAGCCCAGACATCCTTCAACAGATGAATGGTTAAAACAGTAATACACCTATATTTTGGAATCCTGCTCAGCAATTTAAAAGGTACAGACTATTGATACATGCAACATCTTGGATGAATCTAAAAACCAAGGCCATAGATGGCTGGCTTGCCTGCAAATACCTCAGTTGTCATTTTTATCAGAAGGGAGTTTCAAAGCCATGTTAACTCCTTCAGAGCTCCCCCTCAGATATCTAGGAATTTCCATAGAGTTGTGTCATAGGCCAATGCCAGGCAGGGCAGCCAAAATGGACCTAGAAAGGTGGTCACGGTGTCTGAACGTCTGGGGCAGGTGAGGCAATCAAGAGACTGGGGCCAGAAAACAACAACAACAAAAAAGAGAGTCAAACCAGGATCAAGAAGTGGGAGCCAGAGGCTTAAAGGAGACAAATTTGGAAGTAGGGGCTGGGACATCACGGGAATCAAAGCTTTGGGAATGGGAAGTGACTGGTGGCAGGGCAGAGCTGCCAGGAAGAGGCAGTGTGTGTTAGGAGCAATGGTGTCCATGTGGGCCCCCAACTGCAGTCAGCTGGATGTCATTCCCAGTGGTTCCCATGCCCACGTTTCTGCCTCAGGAGAATGCTGAATGTGTCTTTTGACATCACTGTGTGAATTTGATCTCTGGATGTGATTTTCTACTGTTGAGCTTTACAGATTTTGTGAAGGCTAAAGCTTGAAGCCCTAACATTTTGAGAGGAAGTATAAACAGAGGAAGAGTCTCAGGCCAGCCCTGCTGCCAGGGAGGCAGAAGGCATTTCTGGACCGGGATCAATAGAGCTTTCCTTTCGCACAGCTCTTGGCTCACTGATACATTCTCCTGACGACATAGCAAAATAGATTCCCCTACCCCCAGCCAGGGAATGGGTAGATAAATCTCAGCAAGACATCATACCAAGCACCCATTTCTGGTGTCTTGGATCTGAGAATGGGAAGTTGCTTCTCAACCTGTGTTCCTCATGTGGCCGGAGGCAGGCTTCGGTAGGACTGCAGGAGACACCCCTCCAGGGAGGGGATGAGTCTTCCATTCTTTGGGTAACAGCCACTGGATTGGCACATTCAGGGAGTTTATATTAGACGCAGCTTCCCTGATAACTGACAAAAACAGACTCTCTGGGCTGTGTCGGTCCTCCTCAGGAGAAATATCCCCAAAGGCTGGTGGAGGAAGGGTGGAGCAGGGCCCACGGTGAAGTTCCACAGCAGAATTAGCTTTAAATAAATGAGAAAACCAAGCTATTTCTGTCAGCCTGCTTCCAGACTCCCGTACCTCAACCGCCACAACATACAGTTCTATGGAAATTCAGAATGCTCTTTGAAATGTTTACAGTTTGGTTTTGGTGGCAGTGGTGGTGGTGGGTAGTTTTTGTTTTTTTTATTTTTGTTTTTGTTTTGTTTTTGTAATAAAAGTCATCCAGAGTACATATCTCATTTCTGCTTTATGCCATTTTAGGCATATCTGTCTTCACTAGTGAATAATTGATTTGAAGGTAAAATCTGGTATGTTGGCTTAAAACTTCCATGGTTCTAACTTGCTTGCTACTGTATAGGACAATTTTGGTTTTTAAAGACTTGACTTTTGTGGGTATACATAGCTGGTACACAAATTGTAGAAAACTTGAAACATTTAGAAAGTATTAGGAATGTCTGCTTCCAGCCATAATGGAGTAACAGGGACTGGATCTATCCATTCATGTAGAACAACACAAAACTGGACAAAAGATACAAAACACTGGTTTTCAGACATTGAGTGGTAGGCAGTGAAGAACTGTGCCCTTGCCCCGCGCCCCCCCCCCCCCCCCCCCCCCCGGAGAGATGGGACATAAAGGATGTGAGCCCTCTGATTGACCTTGTTTCCTGCCTGGAGAGTTTCCAGGCTGCACATGGCGGGGGTGGGGGGGTGGGCAACAGAACCCAGAGGTCTCACAGAGCTGAGGAGACACAGATCAAGGTAGCGAGAATCCACAGGGCTGTGTTTGGAGAAAAGATAACTATACCAAGGGCTCCACATACCATCAGCGGGGATGCCTCCAGTCTTCCAGTGAGCATTGAGCAAGGGACCCATGTACAGAAATGACTTGGAAGGAACTACTCAAGAAAAACAGGCAGAAAAATCCCCAGAGCTTACGCAGGGCCAAGAATAACCTCTGTTTCCTGAGCAGGAAGAACTCCGAACACATGGAGCATTAAATAGAATCCTCAGAAGAGTTTTACCTCAGTCATGGGACCAGACAGACTACACCTAAACTAAAAGACTGGTGGGTGCCCACCTAAGAAAAATTAAAAGAAAGTCTTGAAAAGATCGAATTTTTCCCAAAAAACCTTACCCCAGAACGAAATGTTTAAAGGAATACAAATCCTCCAACACCCAATAATATAACACAGAATTCTTGTCATGGCATAAAAAAGTCATCAGGTGTGTGAAGAAGCAGGAACATATGAATCATAATCAGGAGAAAACCTTAAAAAGCATTTGGAAGACCAAAAAATAACAATAAACCTAACAAGAAATGACCTTAATGATGAAGGTATTATTGCCTTTTAGGCTTTTATTCAGTACATTAAGCTTTTACTAATTGATTAATTTATTAATTTATTTGAGAGAGAGAGGGACAGAGAGGGAGAGAGAATCTGAAGCAGACTCCACGCTGAGCACAGAGCGACTGAGCCACCCAGGTGCCCCTTGGTACATATTTTTTAAATTACTGAAATTATGGGGTGCCTGGGTGGCTCAATCAGTTAAGTGTCTGCCTTCGGCTCAGGTCATGATCCCAGGAGCCCCGTGTCAGGCTCTCTGCTCAGTGGGGAGCCTGCTTCTCCTTCTTCTGCTCTCTGCTGCTCCCCCTGCTTGTGCTCTCTCTGTCTCTGTCAAATAAATAAATAAAATCTTAAAAAAACCTACTGAAATTACATCAACTATGGATGACCCGATGTGGGTATAACTTGGTAAGCATTTCCCCATGTGTGTTATTTTTTTCTTTCCTTTTTTTTTTTTTTTTTGGTGATGAGAACCAACACTCCTTTGGGTTACCTCAAATAATAGGAAGTGTATTATGAGGAGACCACCAGGTAATAAGGAAAGAGGGTTCTCAGCTAAATTGACCAAGGGAGAAAAAAAAGACAAATAATTGGACCTCGCAGGAAGTGAAGGAATGAGAATTGCTCAGAACCAGAGCAGCTCCAGCACATCAACAGGAGCTATGAATATTCCCAGTGATGCCCCACCTTAACAAGCCTCACCCCTCACCATCTCAGTATTCCTCCTCTTTGTATGGCATCTTGCTGCTTCTGTCGTACAGAATGGTTTCTGGTCTGGATCATTCAAATCACCTGACTTTCAACCAAATTGAGAACACTTTACATTAAGGGTTTGAGAACGGAGATGACAATGACACTCATTCTCTCGGTTATGATCCCATGACAGGACCTTAACATCGTTAGGACATTCATCTCACTCCCTCCATTCAGGAGGCTATGGCTGAAAGCAGAGGCAATGTGGGTGAGCCTTCTTCAGTCAAAACTTGCCTGTACTGGATAACCATCCAAGAAAAAGTCAAATGTTGGGGTATATATGTAAGCATCATCTGAACAGAAAGGATACACGGACCACAGCAACTTCCTTCACGATCGCAGGGTGCAACTTCCAGCTCTCGGCCATCTAGGTGGGGCCATCCACGTCCAGCAAGTTTGTTCTGGTAGAAGCAGGGAATTGTTTTTCATGGGTCATTTCTCCATAAAACCCTGTAAGAGGAGTGAGGGTCTATTTACTATTGGATTTGTTACTCTACCTTATTTAGAGGTTGGTACAATATTATCTTTGAGTCCTTGTATTTATGTAAATGAAAAAACCCTCAATATCTGATCTTAAACATTGTCAGTGTTGTTTTTTTGTCCCCAACATTCCATTATGAAAAATTTCCAGCATGAAGTGAACCTGGAAGAATATTATAGTGAACATCCACTGAGATTTTACTACACTTGCTATGTCACACATTCACACATCTATCCTCTCTCTATCCATTAATCCCACCTATTTGGGGGGCATTTCAAAGTAAATTGCAGACATCAGAATATGTTCCCCTAAATAGTTCAGCATAAATGTTGTTACTTAAGTTTCAATGTTTGTTAAGTTTTTTCCACGTCTACACAAAAAATATGCAAATCATTAAGAGTACACCTCTGAGTTCCCCCCAAAAAAGGCATTGTACTGTGTAGCCCAAATGGTTATCAAAATCTATGACATCATCATCACCCCTGAAAATTTCCTTGTGACCCTTCCCAGTCAATGTGTGCTCCGCTCTCCCAGAGACAACAGCTGTTCTGATTTTTTCACACCTAGATTTGTTTTGCCCTTCTAGAATTTCATATAAAATGGAATCATAGAGTATATACTTCTTTCACTGAGGACCATGTTTTTGAGATTAATTCAGGGGACAGGAAATTTTCTCTTAATATTTTTAGGTAGTAACTTTTTTAGCCTTTGGAACCAGACAATCTCTTGAAACTACTCAACTCTGCTGATGTAGCCAGAAAACAGCCCAACAAAAGATAAACGAGTGGGGCTGGCTGTTCCAATAAAACTTGTTTACAAACACAGGTAGCCAGGCCCATAGGCCATGGTTTGCCAAGCCCATTAAATGTCATTGTGTGTATCAGTAGTTTGTCTTCACTGCTGAGTAGTATTCCACTGTAGGAATGTGCCAATTTATTTATCCATTTGCCAGGTGCTGATCACAGGGGCTGCTTCTAGTTTTTAGCTATTATGAATAAAGCCTCAATGAACAATCTTGTACAAGTGTTTTTGTAAAAATGTTTTCATTTCTCCTGAGTAAATACCTAGAAGTAGAATTGCTGGGGCATAGGGTAGATTTATTTTTACTTTCATTCTAAATGCATAGAAAATAAACAACAAAAAACAGCTACCAGGCGTCAGTGTGACTTTTACTTCTCTTTCACCAGGGAGAGATAATTATAACCACATTCTGTAAAAATTTCTTCTCTCACTGAAACTTCTCTCCCTCTCCTGACCTTTCCTTCCTTTCAAAGTGGGATCATCACAAACAAAACTTTAAAAACATACTTTGCATGCCTATCTCTACGACCTAGCTTCTTTCTACTTCCTAGCCCAGACTGCCAAGAGGAAGACCGACTAGTTCAGCTGATCACCGTCCTCCCATGCATGGCCAGCTTTTCACTGGCATAGACTAGTGGCATGGCGTGGCTGCATACCTCATCCAATCAGCTCTGGCCTGGCGAAGTGGTTCAGAGGGTAGAGATGGGGCTTCTCCCACTCTTAGCTGAGCAGTGTCCTTTAGTGAGGATGGTAAATGTGGCTGGCGTCTTAACTGACACATAACTACAGCGATTAATAATTCCCCTATTGTTGGGGACTTACATTGTTTTCAATTCTTCATCTCACATCTTAGGCTGCAAAAGACACGTTGGGACACAAATATTTGCATGAAATTGGTAACATTTCCTTCCAGACTCCCTAGAAGCCATATTACTGGGTATAAATATCTGACATCAGTGATTCTCCCACTTTGGCAACAACATTATTTGCAGGGCTCCTAGTTTCTGTCTCGGGAGGGCTAGTGCGGGGGCATGAGAATTTGCATTTCTAACAAGTTCCTGGGTGATGCTGACCTGGGAAGAGGAATTTTTTTCTTCTTCTGATGCTTTTACAGCACTTTGTGCCACTTGAAAATATTTAACACAATCTGCCTTGCCTTAGAGTTAAGTTTGCACGTATTCATTTCCTCCCTAGAACAGGAGCTCCATAGGTTCTGTATTGTTTATCTTTGTATGCCCTAAAGTGCTAAGCAAGAATAGTGTGTTAAAAAAAAAAGCAGCTTGTTATGTCCTTAATCTGCCACCTAATTTCCTTGTTATTGTCTCCTTGTGGTATTAATGCTGTCCCAACTTCCCCCAATTTTATTTGCAGACACTTAAAACTAGTTGCCACTTAAGCTTTGGTTGCTTGTTTTGATTTCTGATAAGCAATAGCTGTAATTTTTCATGTCTGGATTTTACACCCCCTCTTGTCATTAAGTACCCTCGATCCAAATTTTCCTTGAGGTGGGTGATAGTGGAAGGAGGTTGTGAGGGAAGTTAGGATGGGTTGGCTTAAATAGTGCCAAAAAGGCATAAACTGAGATCTTAAAAATAAATTTTACCATTAGCATCCTTGAAATCAAAATCAAAATGAGATGTTTGTGAAAGACCTGGAAAGTAGTAAAGCGTTCTCTAAATTATGGAATTATTTTTTTAAAGATTTTATTTATTTGAGAGAGAGAGAGTGAGCACAGGCGGGGTGAGGGACAGATGGAGAAGCAGACTTCCCGCTGAGCAGGGAGCCCAATGCAGGGCTCGATCCATCATGACCTGAGCCGAAGGCAGATGCTTAACCGACTGAGCCACCCAGGTGCCCCTAAATTATGGAATTTTTAATATAACACCCTAGGTCATATGATAAACAGAGGGGAGGAAAACACTTAGAAAGTAACTTGCCCAACTTTATCCCTGTCACAGTTCACACAGACAAAAATCAAACATACTTAGAACATTTGGACCAAAATGCAGAAACTAGAGGGTGGATAAACAGCACATTCAGACCAAAGTTAGGAGAGTCCCCATTGAGTTTGTATCACAGGAACCAGAAAAAGTTCTTTTGACTCAGATTTGTGGTATTTCTACCCCCAAAAGTAAAAGGGTAAAATGTTTCAAATGAACTGGCCCTAACTGCCTCAGAACATCTTAAGTGAGAATCTTTCCCCCTGGTTTATTTCACACATATCCTACAACCTCCCTCTTCATCCAAAGCTGTCATCTAAAAGAGGACCCACAACCCATTTTCAAGATTTTTGTTTGATATGCAGTCAATGCACCAAGGAAAGTACCTGTTTGCAATTACATATATGAAATGTTTACTATCCATTTTTAAAAATATTTATTTATTTATTTTAGGGGGGAGGAACAGAGGAAGAGAGAGAATCTCCAGCAGACTCACCACTAGAGTGTGGAGCCCATTGTGGGGCTTGATCTCACGACCCTGAGATCATGAACTGAGATCATGACCTGAGCTGAAACCAGGAGTCAGCCACTCAACCAACTGAGCCACCCAGGCGCCCCGCTTACTATCCCTTTTCACAAAGTTTTCCCAGTCATTTCCTGATAGGATGAAGCTTGTCCTCGGCTAGATTTCTCAAGAAAGGCTCATGGTTGTGAATTGTTTAAAACTCATTTTCTATAGACTCGACACTTGAAGGATAACTCGACTGGATATAAAATTCTTGATTCATATTCTCTTTCCTTGAGTTTCTTAAAAATTGTTGCTCTATGGTTGCCTTGCTTTCTACATTGATATTGACCTAATTCTTTTGCCCTTACTATTGTAAAAAATTAGTTATTAACTTGTTTACATTTATTATTATTTTGCTTGGGGATTTTTCTCTTTGAGAAAGTCTAACAATTTTGCTAGAATATGTCTTGGAGTTGATTGTTGTGGTTCAGTTTTCCCAGGTACTTGATAGACTTTTAAAATATGTAGAATCAGATACTCTTATTTCTGGGAAATTTTCTTGGGTAATAGTTGTAAATGTTAGTTCTATTCTATTATTACGTTTTTCTTCTTCAGGAACTCCAGTTTTATATATCTCTGTAGGATCTTCTTTGCCTCTCCATTTTTTTAAAGATTTATTTATTTAAGAAAGCGCACGTGTACACACTCATGTGAGAGTGTGTGCAAGAAGGGGAGGGGCAGGAGGAGAGGAAGAGAATCTCAAGCAGACTCCCCACTGACTGGGAGCCTGATGTGGGGCTCGATTCCATGACCCCTGAGATCACAACCGGAGCTGAAACCAAGCATCAGAAGCTCAGCTGACTGAACCACCCAGGCGCCCCTTCTCTCTTCCATTTCAACAGCTGACCCTGTTATTAAAGTTCTTTCTTTATCTCATTTTCATGCTCTTAGTTATTTGGTTAGCTTTTTTCAAAATCTCCTAACTTTTAATTTGAATATACTCCTTTGGCCACCTTGTAATTTTGTCCTCATTTCTGATATGGTTTTGCTGTTTTCCATTTCTTTCTTGTGTTCAATCAACTTTTTCTTTTTTTGTCTGTTTCTGTTAGTCAGAATTTCTGATTCAAGTTATTTTGTCCCCTCCACATCACCAAATAATTAACTTGATGTGGAGTATTACCTATAGTTTTCTTCTGTTTTTGGTTGTTTTTGCAGGGGTGGATTTTCATCATCTGAAATGTTTCCATTCTCGCTTTCTGTTTTCTTCTTATAGAAGCCTCGTATAGATGAAGACTATTTTTGTTTATTAATTTCATGGACAGGCTCTTGGCTAAGGGGTAGTTTTTAAGACTCCTACTTCAGGAATACCACTTGCTCTCAGTGTGGCAAAGTGCCCTTTAAAATGATAGTTCTCCTTTTGGTGTGTGTGGAGGAGGAAACTGGGGAAGGAAATACGTGTTCCTTGATTTTTTCAAAATCTCTTTTGTTTTGCAGCACTCTAAATTCCCTCTTCCTACTCTTTTCTTTCTTTTTTTTTTTTTTTATCACCTAGTCTACAAAGGAGACTTTCAGAAGCAATGACACTGGTTCATTGCTACACAGAATCGTCAGTGTTGATACTTGATCTCTGGCTGCTTTCAACACTGTTGACCACTTCATCATTCTCTGAGATACTCCCCTCCTGTTTCTTCTCCTATCTCTGAAGCAGTTCCTTCCATCTCTCCTAAGATTCGCATTCTTCTCTTCTGGCTATTAAATGTTAGACTTCCTCAAAGCCTGGCCTTCCGCTGTTCTCATTCCACACTCCTTCTGGGTGCACACATCATTGTCCATAGCTTTATTTAACATCTATATTTGCATGATTCCCAATTTTTTTTAAGATTTTATTTACTGAAAGAGAGAGAGAAAGCATGAGCAAGGGGGAGGGGCAGAAAGAGAGGGAGAAGCAGACTCCCCACTAAGTGGGGAGCCCAATGCAGGGCTCAATCCCAGGATCCTGAGACCATGACCTGAGCTGAAGGCAGACACTTAGCTTGACTGAGCCACCCAGGTGCCCCATGATTCCCAGTTTTCATCTCTAGCCCAAACCTGTCCCCTGAGCTCTAGACTCCTATGTTTAACTGATGATGCTCATACTCAAAGACACCTCAATCATATCATGTCTAAAACTGAGCTTTATTCTTACCTCCAAATGCCACTGTTACAGTTACAGAAATTTTGAGATTTCCTTGACAACTTTCTCTCAACTCCCAAATATCCAGGTTATCATCAATTCCTATTGACCTTACCTTCTAAAAGTCTCTTGAATCCAAAAACTAATCATCACTTGGACAACCACCTTCATTTCTCACCTTAACTACAATTGCCTGCTAATTGGACTCCCTATAAACACCTTTTCCCCTTCAATCTATTCTTTCCATACAACAGCCATAGGGACCTTTTAAAAACTATAATGTGTGCTCCTCCCCTACTTAAAAATTCTTCAATGGCTTCCCATAGCTCTTGAGACAAAGACCCAAATCCTTGTTATGACCCACAAGGCCTTATAAGAACTGGCCTCTTACTTAGTTCTGTAGCCTCACTTTACCTTACTCTGCATTCAGCCATATCAAGTCCTGGAATAGGCTATGTTTTAATTTACTTCTCACTTCCTTTTTTTTTTTTCCCCAAGGATGGTATATAAGATCACTTTATTTCACAGGGCAAAGGTTATGTAATACCCTCTGGACACTATGTAAAGCATTAGAAGCCAACTATACGTATGTTCAGTACTGGCCAGAGAGCTGTTCCTCTTCTGAGCTGTTCCTCTTCTAGAAGTGCTGCTTTTTATTGTGGCTTATGGTAACCATGCAACATGGAATGTTGGGAATGACCCTGGAATCCAGAGAATGACCCATGGAATCCAGGGAATGACACTGGATGCCACATGGGGCAAGCTGTTTTGCCCAAACTCTTATCCCCCAAACATACCTTCTTTAGCCAGTGAGGGCCTGTTATAAAAAGCCTTGGGGGTTTCATGAAGAGACTACTATGCATTATAGCTTTTGCCCAGCATCACCACAAAACTTGAACTATTTTGGTTAAATAGCCCTTTAAAAGCTGACAGAAGAAAAGAATATCTATTGTGAAACTGTCTAAATCCCCCAATTGCTGGCTCCACACAGTCAGATATGGTGATGATGCACATAGTTCTGGATTAATAACGAAAGCTTAAAAAGCAGAGAAAAGCTGCAGGGGCTTTGGCTGGCTGGCTCTCCCCTCAGGAGCCCTAAGCATCATCTCCTGGTGCCTTTCCTGATATGAGAGGGTTTTCACGTTTGAACGGCCTGATGTCATAGGTGACCATGTTGAAGTTGTCCCAGGCACAGAGCTTCTTCACCAGCAGGTCATAGTCAACCATGCTGCTGTACGGTTCTTGAGGGGACAGTCAGGGCCTTGCTGTGTCCTGGGCCTGTGGCATAAGCAAAGCTGAGAGTGGTGTCAGGTGATGAGTAGCTGCTGACGGGGTACAAGTGGTCACAGATGATGAAGACACTGGCCACTGACTGCTTACGGATGTTAGTCTCCCCAGTTTGTTCAAGTTCCAGACTCTCTGGGTTCAGTTTGGAGAGGACAATGCGCCTTTGGCCTCCTACATGCTGTACAGTTCTCACTTCCTTGTGGAAGATTTCTTGAATTCTCCTAAGTTAAATCCCCTCTTATATTCTGTCCTAGCCTCATGTCTTTCTCTCTCCAGCATTTATCTCAGGTCTAATTTTATATTTATGTATGTGATTAATGTCTATCTTCTCTGCAAACTCAAGGAGGATAGGGGTCATGATGTTTTGTTCACCTTTGTAACTCCAGCTGTGAGCACAATGTCTGAAACAATAAATATCTGTTGAAATAATCATTCTAACCTCTATTTCCTTTAAAATTATAACAGTGCTTTATTGAGTACTGTATTGAGTGCTTTCTATGTGCCAGATGCCATTTTAAGCACTTGACATGTATCATTTCATTATTCCTCTTAATAGAGGAAGGGGGAGGTAAAGTAATCTTCCCAAAATACACAGCAGGTTACCAAAGCTAGTAAGTGACAGAGCTAAGATTTGAACCCAGGAAGTCTGGCTTCAGAATCCAAGCTCTTAAATGTTATATTATATTCCCTTTAATGCTCATATCACTGACTTATGCTTTTCTGATTAATTTTATGAGAGTCCTTCAGACCTGGAAATAATTTCAGTGATCATCCTTTTTTCATAGATTGGATCAGTGATATCAAAAAGGGTGAATGACTTGTCCAAGATCACAATGCAAGCAGGTAGCAGAATTTAGACTCTATTATGTTTTCTGCCTTTTTTTATTCCTGCATTGTACTGGCCTGGTGCCTCTTAGGAATGAGCTAAGTTTAACTGGCAAGATTCAGTTCTATTTCTTTTATAGATACAAATTTTAGTGCTGTATCTGACATATAGTATAAAGATGTAGTACAACATATGAGAATTCCTTTTTGCAACTGTACAGAATGTGTAACTAGCTTTTATAATTGTCTATGTGTGGAGTGGCAGGGGGGCAGGGGATTGATTGTGATTTGCCAGAGCTAAAGAAAAGAAGTAGCAATCATCTGTCTCTGATCTTGGTCTTTGCTTGCCTGAAGGTAGGGGACTAGGTCAGACCCAAGTCAGATCTCTGAATCTTCTAGGTGCAGGTCTTTGAAGTATATTGAAAGCATCAATCAACCTTACCTAAAGGTGTTCTTCATACAGAACTTTTCTTGAAAAGAAGAAAAAAGTATATTTTAATCCCAAGTTCATTTATACCTTTGGTTGTTTGATGGCCTGCTGAGCAAAGTAAGGTCTGTAGATCATCAGCACCCACATCCTTGGAAGCTTGTTAGAAATGTAGAATTTCTGGCCCTATCCCAGACCTGCTGAACCAGAAACGGCATCTTAATAAGATCCTCAGATGATTCACATGCACATTAAAGGTTGAGAAGCACTACTCTGAGAGGGTCTGCCAAGAAAGAGAGTGAAGAATAAGACTGAATGTCTTATACTGAATCACCTTATTTTTAAAAGCACAATATTCATTCCCAGCTGACAACTTAAAACATATAAATAGAATTCTACACATTTTTCTAAAATCCCACACTTGACAGTAGTTTTTTTCAATAGATAATCTTCATAGATTTTTCATAGGCACAAGAAATGCTGGAGTTGGAACAAACCTAGGACACTATTAGTCTATCCTGCATTCACCCAAATGCAAAATACCTTCTATAGGATTCCTGTGCGGCCTCTGATTGAACATTTCCAGGAAAGGCAGCTCACCAAATTACAAGGCACAACCATTCCTTGCCATTCACTGCCACACTTAACAATCTCAGTTTAGTTCTGACCATCTATCACCTAGAGATGGCAACAGTGTTGCAAGCTTGTCTCAATCCTTCTGACCATCCAAGAAACAAAACCCTGTTCCTACAATCATATACCAACAAATGCGGTGCTTGCAAATTTTGACTTTTTTTTCAATTCACTATTGTCCACACTTATGTAACTACCTTCTATTTTCTCTGGTCTCATTGGACAGATCAGCTAATTATCCAAAGACTTGGGTGATCCTGCCTTTCTAATTTTGGCAAGTCCAACTCCCTGTTTTCCATGGCACAATTTATGGGATCCCTGACTTAGCTATAAAAATTCCATTAATTTTGCATCTCCTTATTCCGCCCAGCTCCTGGGTATTCACGAATAGCGGTAACTATTCTTTTGTCTCTTTTTTTCTGATTTTTATGAAACTAGAGAAGCTAACCTTGTTTGTCTAGACTCCTCGTTAAAGGGCAAATTCATCTAGAACAGGAATCTAGTCCTTTACACGGCGTTTCGTGGCACCTGGCTGCTTCCTTTATGTTCTGCTTGTGGGGGCTAAGACTTCTATCAATACCATCACCTTAAGTTCACTGGAGAGTCAGTCACCTGTGCAAGATGTCCTTCCTATCTGTCTAAGATTCTCATTGCCAGAAGTTCATTAGAACTCCCCTGGAGACCGAGACACTTCAGTTAAAATTCACAGATGGCTATAGAGCCCATACCATACTCAAATTATTTTGCTAGGTGTTGGTATGGATAAGGAGATGATTACAATAAAGGCAGAGTTCTAGAGTGCATGTTATAAAAGAAACAAAACAACTTAGTCTTGTTGAAGACATCATGTTAGAGACCAATTTTTTGCCACATTTAGTTATCGTCTTAATTTGGGGTCCCATAGATAGATATGTATCTACTTTACCTATTGCTCTATCTCAGAGGGCAGAGCACCACAGTGCAAAGTCTTCCCCTCCAGGTGAGTTTCTCAAACTCCTCATACACGCAGTTTTAAAACGCTGACGGCCCTAAGGGCTGTTGTTTACATGTCTCTTTCCTCATGAGACTGTGAGCTAACCGAGGGCAGAGTTCATGTTTTATTTCCAGAAAGCACCATGCTTGGCATTTAGTAATCAATACTGAGAATGATACAGGTAACCCTACCGAGCGCTTGCCCTGTGGCAGCCACTCTTAGAAAGGGTTTACGTATAACCAATCATTTAGTACAGGCACTTGCTCAAGCGAATGAACCCATACCCTTTTCTCCACCGGCTTTAGTTCCGGAGACCTCCGACCTCTTCCCCGGGGCGTCCGCGCTCCCTCACCTACCGGAACTCCTTCGCCCCGCCCCCAGAACGTCCGCGTCCCGCCCCCTCGCCGCCACGTGGTCCGGGGCCGGTCGCACCTCACTAACGTCACCAGCACGCGCCCTGGCTGCTGCTGTGCCCCTGGTTTGCGAGTCCCGTGATTCTAGTTTCTTCGCGAGCCGGCTGCTCGGTAGCCGCCACCGCTCAGGTCCGGAGACTCGCGGCGCCCCAGGCTCTCGACATGTCGATGCTGGCTGAGCGTGAGTTGAGGGCGCGAGGGTGAAGGTTCCAGGTGACGCGCCCGGCCGGACCGAGTGGCGCGGGGTGCGGGTCGTCGGCGCGCAACGGGGCGGGGGATGCCGGGGGACGTGGAAGCCCGGTTCGGCTCGCCCTGCCTGCCGCGGAGATTTCCCAGCCCACCTTTCGCCGGAAGTTAGCTACCGGTCTACTAGTGAAAGAGACTGCGCGTGTCAACGTGGGACTCTTGTCCTTACGCTCAGGTCTGGGCACGCACGCGGTGGGTTCAAATGGGAGCCAGGACGCGGACCGGGCAAACCCTGAGCTGTTGTTTCACTTCGCCGGACCTCAGCTTCTTCTGGTTAAAAAGAGGCGGTTGGGCCAGCAGAATCTCTTCAGGCAGTGAAATCCCGTTCTCGAAGATTTATTGAATCCAGAGAAAGAAAAGGAAGGGGTTTAGAAGCATCGAACACAAGAAGTTAGCCTTTTTTAGGGAATGCAGGACTAATGAGTGATTCTAAATAAGACTGACGGTTTGGACTTAGTTGGAATTGTTAACATTCTTGCATGACAGAAGTGTTGGCTGCAACGCCGTGCCCTGCTTTTTGCCTTTGACATTTATCTTCACTTTACGAGTAAGTTCATTAATTCCCTCTCTCTGGAGAGGCGATTTGACTTCTGAGCGGTATCTGTCGCTATGCCTGCCACTAGGTGGCAGTCGTGCTTTGTCATGAAAAGCCGGCCCGTGACTTTTTGAAGTGTATAGTGAGCAAGGAACAGAAAAGGCTTGTTTAACAGGCCAATAGCAGCCACACAGGGATTCTATGAAATAAATGCTGTCAGCATTCTCTTATCTAAGTAGGTGGGAGAATGGGAGCACAAACGCAAGGGGTAAGGCACCGTTCCAATTTTACGGGGGCTGAAATCCAGGTTCAGAGGAAAATAATTTGCCCCGAGTCTTTGAGCTAGAAAGTGACAAAATTGATCTAGTTATCACTGTGTCTTTACCTTTTTGTCACTGGGCCAGCAGTTTCTTACTGTTTTTTAATAGGGACTTATAGAAAAGCATATGTTTTAGACTGTGACTAAATGGGCTCTGTTTCTTCATTTGTGAAACTAGGGCTGCTAGAATCTCTTCTGGTTTTAATTTCTCTGATGTATGCTTAATTCAGCATGCACTTTGGCCCTGGCTCTGCTATTCATTTATGTCTCTTTCCATGATCAATTTCTGCGGAGCTATTAAAAAACTTCTTTTATTATCTTCATTACTAGGTTGGCTTAAAAATCAATGAGATGGTGAACATGAAAACATTTCAGAGTATGAAATGCCTTTTATACAGGTGTGAAATGCTGTTTGTAGATATCAGTAATTCAAATTGCATGATTTCAGAGAATATTTTCAGTTCTTCTCTCCCCGCCGTGACTCCAAATTTTCAAATCTTTGCCATGATAATATTGATACTTTGTGTTGTCTTTTAAAATAACTTGCTAAGTTTATGTCTTCGGCATCCCTTGTGATTAGATATTTAGGACTGCTGTTCTTATTTTATGTTTTTAAAGATTTATTTAGTTGAGGACGCCTGGGTGGCTCAGATGGTTAAGCGTCTGCCTTCGGCTCAGGTCATGATCCCAGGGTCCTGGGATCGAGTCCCGCATCGGGCTCCCTGCTCCTTGGGAGCCTGCTTCTCCCTCTGCCTCTCTCTCTCTCTCTCTCTCTCTGTGTCTCTCATGAATAAATGAATAAAATCTTAAAAAAAAAAGATTTATTTAGTTGAGAGAGAGATAGAGCACGGGGGGGGGGGTCGGGGTGGTTAGGCGGAGGGAGAGGGAGAGAATCTCAAGCAGACTCCCTGCCGAGTATGGAGCAGTATCTCTGGACCCTGAAATCATGACCTGAGCCAAAACCAAGAGTCAGATGCTCAACCGACTGAGCCACCCAGGCACCCCAGGACTGGTGTTCTTATTTTAGAGGTAAGAAAATAGGAGCAAAGGAACGTCCTAGTCTCATAATTTCAGTGCCTAGCAATTATTTTTTCTGCTGGTTTATAAAATTGGGGTAATTCTGTAGGTATAGTTTTGTTTTCTCCCCCACTTAACATTAGTGAACATTTTCAATTCATTAAGCATGCTGTTTCCTCTGTTTTCCCTTGCCATGTGGACTATATCTTATTTTATTTTCGCCATAGGTACTTATCCTATTTTTAAAATCTAGTAGTTTTCTTTTTGTTTCTCAAAAATATTTTTATTTAGTATTTCTGTGATATCAAGTGTTATTTTCTTGGGACTTCCTTGTGCAAGACAAGAAATCTAGCTTACATAAACCTCCCCTATGTAAGACAAGAATTTAATTTATTGATCTCACTTACCAGTCATTAAATCATTTGGAGTTTTAGACCCAGATTTTTGTCAAGTTATTACTTTTTTTTTTTTTT